CATAAACCAGTGTCGAGAAAAACTCGTTCAAAGCTAGACTACGCGATGCTCCGGCCGTTATTATGGGCGCGCGCTACTATTACAGTATTTACGGTATCTATTAATCTTTAATCTAGCGCACTTTATGTAGCGCAATCTAGCGCATCTAAGCTCCTGAATAAAGTATCTATATAAGTATCTATATAAAATAAAGCCCCTGCTTCGATTCTTATTTCTATTTTTTTTGCTATTTTCGTTAATATTTATTAGTTTCAAGTGAACTTTGGACTAAAAATTGGCTTTGAATCGTTTTTTTTTATTGTTTGCCAGTTTTAGTTTAATGAAACCCTTTGAAATCTCCAGTTTTTCCTGTTCAAGTTTTTTCCTGTTCACCAGCCAGCTATTCATAGAAAATGAGGCTGTAAAATGTTGCTTTTGAGGAAATCTAAGATTTTTTGTTTATTTTACTTTACTTTACTTTACTTTAGTTTAAATTTAGCTTTTGATTTAGATATTAGAAAATAGATTTTTCCAAATTTGTATATTTGGATAAGAAATGGTAGATTAACTAACTGGGGTTATTGTCGCTTTTTTTAAAGATGTCCTCTTTCTTCTGTCATAATCTTTTCTCTAATTTTAGAAGCATTTTGAATAAGTTTTTTTTGGCATCAACTTTTGACTCTATTTTAACTCTAATTTGACTCTATTTTGACTGTATTTTTCTCAAATTTGGCTATATTTTTGCTTCAAATTCTCATCCTGTTTATCAAAAAGGAAATTTAAATTACGATAGTCACCGTAAATCAACGCTAAGATATTCTAGAATAATAAAAGTACTTGAATTCTTTAAGATTAGAAATTTAAGTTATGACACTCACCGTAAATCAACGCTAAGATATTCTATTAGGTGTGTGAAAAAGTAATGGTTGGACTTGATGGTTGGACGCGTCCGGACCCGCTCATTCATAATCGGCTGAAATTCATAATCGGTTACGACATATAAATAGATTCATTTATCAAATAGATTCATTTATAAATATTAGGTGTGTGAAAAAGTAATCCACGTTTTTTATTTTTATCTGATGCCCAAATCAGACGCTGTCTTCTCGAAAACCCTCGTTCAACCTCTTCAGAAATAGGCCTTACATTAAATTGTGATGGGTCAACCGTAAGGAAACGCTTGAATGCCATGAATTTTATCAAAAAGTTGGACAAATGGATACCGCATGAATTGAGCGAAGAAAACAAAACAATGCGCCTTACAATCGCCAATTCTTTGATTAATAAACATCAACTTGAGCCATTTATTGATCGAATTGTTACGTGTGATGAAAAATGGGTTGATTACGATAATTCTAGAAGGTCTGGACAGTGGGTGGAACGTGGTAAACCTGCTGGGACAATGCCCAAAAAAAGCCTCCATCCTAAAAAAATTTTAATGACAGTTTGGTGGACTGCACGTGGTATTATGCACATAGACTATTTACCACGTGGCCAAACGATTAATTCGAATGTCTATTGTGCCGAGATTGATGCAGTCCAACAAAAACTCACTGAGAGACGCGTATCATTGGTAAATAGGAAAGGTGTCCTGTTGCTCCATGATAACGCGCGACCACATGTCTCTTTACAGACTCGACAAAAAATCCAGAGTGTTGGATGAGAGGTTTTACCATATCCACCTTATAGACCAGACCTTTCTCCATCTGATTATTATTTATTTTTGTCTCTGTCTAACTTTTTGGCCAATAAACGGTTCAATTCCGAAGAAGATGTCAAAGCCGAGGTTGCCTCTAAGGCCTCTGCCTCTTTTCTTCGCCTCTAAGGACCAAGATTTTTATTATCGTGGAATGTCTTTACTTGTAGAACGTTGGCAAAAGGTTCTTCTTTCGAATGGTGGTTACTTCGTTGAATAAAAATTATGTTAACGAAACTTATGGTCTTTTATATTTAAACGTTAAAAACGTCGATTACTTTTTCACACACCTAATAGAATGATAATAGTACTTGAATTCTTTCACTATTCTGTCGAAATCTAGCTTATCTATTAGCTGATCTGTTCAATAGTTCACAGTGAGCTGTCAAAGGTAGATTAGAGCATGTATGATTTAGTTTTGAAATTAAATAGAGAAATTGTTTTGGCTATTATTTGGGAAACAAATTTTTAAGCTTTATCAAGTCATCGGTCGATGAAAAAGCTACAGTTTAAATGATTTCATAATCTAAAATCGACAATCCACAGAATGTCCCAGATAATTCCAGATTTCCAGATTCCAAAGGACTTTTTCGAAGTAAATGATCCAAATTTGTAGAGAAAAGGAACCAAAAGAGAAAAGAGAACCAAATTTGTAGAGGAAAGCAACCAAAGTTGTAGAGTAAAGGAACCAAATCTGTAAAGAAAAGCAACCAAATTTGTCGATAGCTTCGATTTTTAGTGACATTGCTTTCAAATCTTATTTCAAAACCCTTTTTCAAATCCAGTGATCTCTTAAGTTTTAAAAATGACGTGATCTTTCGTATTTCTCCTTAAACAACTTATTTTTGTCGTTTTTTTTCTTTTCCCATGCACTATTCATGTCCATTTTGAGTGTCTCTCTCTTTCTTTTTCCTTTCTGAAATCCAAAAAATTTGTTGACGCCTTCTTTCCCATTTTTAAGTCAAAAACTCTTTTCTTTTATCGAAAAGACACTAGTTGTCACTCAAAAATTATTGCCTTTTTTTGATGAGAATGTGAAAAAAGGGGGAAGCACTTGAGAAATTTTTGGCCAACCCAGCCAACTTCATCAAAACAGTTCATTTTTTTTTTTAGTTTTCCTTAATCTTTTGATTTTTCATGTACTTTTTGCTTTAAACTACTTTAAGAAATTGAATTCACTGCATCAGAAAGTCTAACATAGACTTTCTGATGCAGTGAATTCAATTTCTTAAAGAAAATGCTTTGATGTTTCGCGAAAAAGGAGGAATTTGTTAGGGGTTTTACAGTTTTAAGCTTTTAGAAGTTTCTAGAAGCTTTTAGAAGTTTTTAGAAGCTTTTAGAAGTTTTTAGAAGTTTCTAGAAGCTTTTAGAAGTTTTGAAAAGCTTTTAGAAGCTTTTAGAAGTTCTTAGAGTTTTTAGAAGCTTTTAGAAGCTTTTAGCAGCTTTTAAAAGCTTTTAGAAGTTTCTAGAAGCTAGAAGATACCATTCAAGTAGATTTTACCCTGATATAACGATTTTGGCACTTCTAGGTAGCCGATCGGTCCGGAAAGAAATATCAGAACCTAGTAAAACATCAGACTCATAGAAACTCAGTGAGTCTGAACTCACAGGAAACCTAGTAAGTTTGGACTCAAAGAAAGCCTAGTGAGCCTGAACTCACAGGAAACCTAGTGAGTCTGAAGGCACAGAAAGCCTAGTGAGTCTGAACTCATAGGAAGCCTAGTGAGTCTGAACTCATAGGAAGCCTAGTGAGTCTGAACTCACAGGAAACCTAGTGACGGTGTAGAGAGTCTATCCCTCTCTAGGGTTAGACTCTCTCTAGTCTCAAATTCCAGCAATAATTCTACCAATAGTTTTTGAAAAAAGTAATGAAAAAAGCAATGAAAAAAGTTAAAAAAGTAAAGTAAAGTTGTTAAAATTCGGTGAATTTGTTCTTTTTCAACGTAATTACGAAAAAAAGCGAAAGGTTTTTGTGGAAAGCTTATTAGTTTTCCCAAATTTCCCCAAATTTTCCCATTTTCATTCAAAATTCTATTTCGAACGGTCAATTCTAGTGTTTTTCAAACATTTCTCCTCAAAATGCATGTGAATTTTCGGGGTTTTTCTGGAAATGTTCCGTTTCCCGAAAGATTTCCCCCCAAATCGAACTAGGCACCGTTTTTGACTCAAGGTATTTCACTCAAGATTCGCTCGAGATTCACTCAAGATATTCCACTCAAGATATTCTAGTTTTGAACCACTTGAACCCTTTCAACTCATTCAAAAAGAATGGTTAGTTTTAGTTTTTAAATTTACAATCCGAAATCCTCGAAGAAACCTTATTTTTGGATTTCTTACAAAAAAATCATCTTGTTTTCTATAAGTCTAATCATTTTTTCTATCTAGAATAATATCTAGAATACTGTATTCTCTAAAAAAGCTATATCTATTCATTTTCTTGTAAAAAGAAGAGATATAGCTTTCTTTCTTCTTCTTTATTTCTTTCTTTTTCTTTTTAGATCGTTGAGCATTTTAGCAAGCAGCTAGAATAAAATCCCAAGTTTGCTAAGGTTTTTGGACAATTGATAACAGAGAATTGATAACTGACATTTGATAACTGACAATTGATAACCGAGAATTGATAACCGAGAATTGATAACTGACAATTGATAACCATGCAATTGATAAATGCTTCTGAATAAGTTAGCCAAGGCAAAAGTCAGGTCCAGGCCTAATTTGTGAGACTTTAGCAAAACAGACAATAAACTCGGACAAGCTAGGCCAAGCCAGATCAAGCCAGACCAAGCTAGACCAAGCCAGACCAAGCTAGACCAAGCCAGGCCAAGCCAGATCAAGCCAGACCAAGCTAGACCAAGCCAGACCAAGCCAGACCAAGCCAGGCCAAGCCAGACCAAGCCAGATCAGGCTAGACCAAGCCAGATCAAGCCAGGTCAAGCTAGACCAAGCCAGGCCAAGCTAGACCAAGCCAGATCAAGCCAGGTCTTGACGATGATTAGAGTGTTGAGCTTCTGGGAAAAATTGGAAATCGTAAAATAGGCATCAACTCGGTGGGGTGAACTACTAGAGAAAATACAGTATTTGCTTTTTTGAATGTCTCGTTGCTTTCTAAATCTAAACCATTTCCAAAAACCGTACTCTAAAAGTATAGTGCTCATTCTTGTTATCTAATTGCTGATTTTTGTTATCTACCGTATTCTCTAGACTAAACTTGTAACGAAAACATCTATCAATCTTTTTTTAAAGATTGATAGCATTTTAATCTAAGGTTTTTTTTGTTTGCAAGAAGGATCGATAGATGTTTTTGTTACAAGTTTACTCTAGAAGCATGTCCTCTACCGTACTCTCTGACGTTGAAAGCGAGTCCGATGCCGAGCAGCCGTTGAAACCGAAAAGCCTATCGGAGCTTCAAAAAGCCGTAAATCCGCAGAAATCGTTTGATGTCCTTGTTTCACTTGATGATCCAACAGCATCGGATCTCGAGATTCACACAAATTGCCTCTTGACGACGAGAAAATTCACAATCGGTCCATCAAGTCCGTCAAAATACGTGAATCCATTCGGTCTAATGCCGAGAAAAGAATTAACGAATGTGCGATTCTCGTCGGTGAATAAAAGACGGGCACCGATCAACCAGATGAGTCTCGACGAGACGACGATGGACAATGGCATTATGAATGGACACAGTGTACAGCTTTTGTTCATCTTTCTTCATTTTCGTGAACTTTGTGCTCATCATGTGCAAATGCAGGCTTTTTGGCGCACTGAACTCTGCATTTTACGGATTTGAGCACAAAGTACACTTCAAAGAACAGTTTACTCGAGAGTTTTTACGATTTGAATGAAAAATGGACTTTAAAGCAGTTTTAATATGGTTTAAAAAGCAGAATTATTGAAAAACTAGCTAAAAAGCAGTTGAAAAGGTAGTTGGAACTGGGCAGATCAAAACTTGTGCGCCGACAGGACTTGAACCCGCGACCTTTCGCCTACTGGCCAACCGTACTAACCATTACACCACAGCAGACTTAATCCCCTCACTCCAGAAAGAGTTAAGTACCCGCTTGTTTTGAAAAACCAGCTGAAAAACCCGTTTAACGGTCGGTCTTTTCTTGTCGCCGTGGCGCAGTCAGCAGCGCGCTTGACTACAGCCCACAGGATCCGGGTTCGAACCTCCGTAGTGCCACTCAACACCATGTAATCAGAAAAACCACCTTAACGGCCGGTTAAAAAAGTGAGTTTTCTGGCTTTCCGGCTATTCTCCTCGTGGCGCAGTCAGCAGTGCGCTTGACTACAGCCCACAGGGCCCGGGTTCGAACACCCGTAGCGCCACTCAACACCATGCAGTCAGAAAAACCACCTAACGGTTCCAGAAGGCGCAGTCAGCAGTGCGCTTGACTACAGCCTAAATGATCCGGGTTCGACTCCCCGTTGTTCTAATTGTTTCACTGAACTCTACTTTTTCACCTAAATCTTTTTCACAGCCAGAAAAATCGCCTAACGGTTGGTTAAAAGCAAGTTTTCTGGCCCTCCGGTTATTCTCGTCGTGGCGCAGTCAGCAGTGCGCTTGACTACAGCCTAAATGATCCGGGTTCGACCTCCCGTAGTGCTAATTGTTTCACTGAACTCTACTTTTTCACAAAAATCTTTTTATAACCTACAACTATGATATATTCTAAGGGGTTTTAGGTCTAAGGTCTAAAGAATTTTTAGCTTTATTGGTCAAAATACGGCTGAGAAAATGCCTTTACAAATAGACAAACTTTTATATAATAAAAATCCATCCAAACTACTCATCTTTCAAAATTTTCAGTACCGAAGTCGAAAACGTCGAGCTGGCATTTGCACTGGAGCTGCTGGCGCTTTCGCGAGCAATGGTGGACCCGGGCATAATAGTGCTGGTGAGTTGGAGTTGAAAAAAGTCGCAAAATGTTTCCTCTAGTTAAAATTAACATTTATTATCAATTTTCTGCTCAAAATTGCCAAGTTTTTTCGAATTTAAATACATTTTCTTCGAAAAAACATCAATTTCGAAACTTTTTTTGACTCAGAATCAGAGTCAGACGAAAATTTCGCTCAATGAGCAAAAAATGGCATTGAATGGACTCAAAAAATGCACCGGAAGGCTCCGGTGCATTTTTCCGCCCATTCAATGCCATTTTTTGCCATTTTTTGCTTTGATTCTTCAAAAATCCTTTTTAAACTCTTTTAAAACCCTTTAAAAGTGATTTTTGAGATCTTTAAATCATTTTGATTTGTACTTTGAAAAGAAAACTCTTAAAGGATCTAATCTAACAAATCGAATAAAATACTCAGGCTACGGCTCGGCTGGTCGACCGCATTTGGGCGGCCGCTCACCCCAGTCCTCTTTTGATTCGAACGGAGATGTGGCACAGGTGAAAACTTTTCAAACTAAACAATTTGTTTCCTGAAAGATGAGCAAATTTCAGCTCAAAATTAGCCAATGGAAAAGGGGCGGGGCGCGTATAAAAGCTCTTTCTGGCCCCGCCCCTTTTGCTAACTTTGAGCTCAAATATCTTAGTATTGAGCTGTCCAATTCGAATGTTCTTGGTATCATTCGATGCGCCAAGTCTTTCTCTATCGATTGGTATAAAAACTATTGAAATTGGGTAACGCAAAGCTGAGATATTTGAGCTCAAAGTTAGATTGCCAATGGCAAAAGGGGCGGGGCCAGGAAAACCTTTTATACGCGCTCCGCCCCTTTTCCCTTGGCTTGATTTCAAGAATATTGAAATTGAACAGCCCAACAAAAAATTTGAGCTCAAAATTAGCCAATGGAAAAGGGCGGGGCGCGTATAAAAGGTCTTTCTAGCCCCGCCCCTTTTGCTAACTTTGAGCTCAAATTTCTTGGTGTTGAGCTGTCCAATTTCAATAGTTTTTGTACCAATCGATAGAGAAAGACTTGGCGCATCGAATGATACCAAGAACATTCAAATTGGACAGCTCAACACCAAGAAATTTGAGCTCAAAGTTAGCAAAAGGGGCGGGGCTATTGAAATTGGGTAACGAAATTGGGTAATTGAAACTATTGAAATTGGGTAACGCAAAGCTGAGATATTTGAGCTCAAAGTTAGATTCCTAATGGGAAAAGGGGCGGGGCCACAATCGTCTAAGCAAGCAAGCAAGCAACAGCGCAAAAGGCAATAATTTTGAAAAAACTAACTATAGTTGCTAACAGCATATTGATAAGTTTCATTTTTAGGCTTAAACTTGTACAAAACTTTTACAAAATGATCTCTAAACCTAGCAATCTACTGGTTTCCAATATTGAACACGTTAGCTTGAAGAAGCAATCATTTATTATAGATTTCATTGAATTGGATGCGAGTGAACGGAGCGATGGCGCCGTTTAAAGGGATTTTACAGAACAACAACGTCAACAAGGTTTGTAAAGAAAGAAACAAGTTTGGATTGATCTTAATTGGATTGATCTGCTCTGAAAACGTGTCCCCTTTCTTTCGTGTTCCCTTTTTGTTTCTTGACTGGATCAACTTGACCAGCTCTAGAAAATTTTGCTCGATTCATCTGTTGGTTCTAGGCCCTGGCCTTTCCTAGGGTTACTGTGGCCTTGTAGACCTACTGTAGGCTAACTGTAGGCTCTGTAGGCCTACTGTAGCTTTGTAGGCTTACTGTAGGCTCGTAGGCTTAGTATAGCCTTGTAGGCTTACTGTAGCTTTGTAGGCTTACTGTAGACTTACTGTAGACTAACTGTAGACTCTGTAGGCTTGCTGTAGGCTTACTGTAGCTTTGTAGGCTCACTGTAGGCCTACTGTAGCTTTGTAGGCTCACTGTAGGTCTACTGTAGCTTTGTAGGCTCACTGTAGGCCTACTGTAGCTTTGTAGGCTCACTGTAGGTCTACTGTAGCTTTGTAGGCTCACTGTAGGCCTACTGTAGCTTTGTAGGCTTACTGTAGACTAACTGTAGGCTCTGTAGGCTTACTGTAGGCTTAGTGTAGCTTTGTAGATTGAGGTTTAAATTGGGGTTTAAATTGGGTTTTAATTGGGGTTTAAATTGGGGTTTAAATTGGGGTTTAAATTGAGGTTTAAAACTGTAACTGTAGGCTCTGTAGGCTTACTGTAGGCTTAGTGTAGCTTTGTAGGCTTACTGTAGGCTTGTAGGCTTACTATAGCCTTGTAGGCTTACTGCAGCCTTGTAGGCTTACTGTAGGCTAACAGTAGCCATGTAGGCCTACTGTAGGCTAACTGTAGCCTTGCAGGCCTACTGAAGACTAAGCCTTGTAGGCTTACTTTAGCACAATTTCTTCGCTATTCTCTTTATCTTTATGTTCATATTCCTTTCAGTCATCCCAATCGTCGCTGCATTTGAATCGAAACGAATCCCTAAATAAAATGCATCAAAACGCGAACAGTTTGGAGAGTCGCTGGAAGGACGATGGTTTGGTTTTCGTCTATATATCGAAAAATCGAAAAAGAATTCTCGAAAAGTAGAAAAATCGAGAAATTCTCTTAATTTCCTCTAAAATCATATATGAAATTTTGGATTTTACCTTAAAAATTCGAAAATTTAAAATGAAAAATGCAAATTTTTCGATAGTGTGCACTGTTTTTAAAAATGCTAAAGAAAATTTGGTTTAAATTGGGTTTAAATTGGGTTTAAATTGGGTTTAAATTGGGTTTAAATTGGGTTTAAATTGGATTTAAATTGGGGTTTAAATTGGGGTTTAAATTGGATTTAATTGGGGTTTAAATTGAGGTTTAATTTGGGTTTAAATTGGATTTAAATTGGATTCAAATTGAGGTTTAAATCGGGTTTAAATTGGGGTTCAAATTGGGATTTAATTGGGGCTTGAATCTGGGTTTAAATTGGGGTTTAATTGGGGTTTAAATTGGGGTTTAAATTGGGATTTAAATTGGGATTTAAATTGGGGTTTAATTGGGTTTAATTGGGGTTTAATTGGGTTTAATTGGGGTTTAATTGGGGTTTAATTGGGTTTAATTGGGTTTAATTGGGTTTAATTGGGTTTAATTGGGGTTTAAATTGGGGTTTAATTGGGGTTTAAATTGGGGTTTAAATTGGGGTTTAAATTGGGGTTTAAATTGGGGTTTAATTGGGGTTTAATTGGGGTTTAAATTGGGATTTAAATTGGGGTTTAATTGGGTTTAATTGGGGTTTAAATTGGATTTAAATTGATTTAAATTGAGTTAAATTAAATTTTAAATCAAAAAAGCTGAATTTCATTGTTTTTACATGTTTTTAAATCAATTTTTATTATTTTCAATTATTATTTTTTCGATTTTTTCGATTTTTTGATTTTTTTGATTTTTTTAAAGCTCAAAGTCCGAGAAAAATGTTAAATTCAGATTTTCAAAAGAAAAAACGTTCAGAAATTTCGTTCAGAGAGTTCAGAGAGTTCAGAAATTTCAGAAAAGAGTTAAGAAATTTCCGACATTCTTAAATTGAGCTATTTATTTGATTAATAGTTACTGTAACTTTGTAGGCTTACTGTAGGCTTACTATAGGCTTACTGTAGACTGACTGTAGCCTTGTAGGTCTAAAAAACGTTCAGAAATTTCGTTCAGAGAGTTCAGAAGTTCAGAAATTTCCGAAATTCTAAAATTGAACTTTTTATTTGATTAATAGTTACTTTAGTATAGTTTATTTTTAAAAAAACCCTTTAATTTATTGAATTGAATAGTGAGAATTTTCTATACAACATTTGAAGCACTTTGTTTTTGCAAGCGCTTTCTTTTTTAACGGTCAAAACAATGAAATTTCAATGCGACGTTGGTCGCATTGAAATTTCATTGCGAAATCGATTTCCGGCCAAGCGTTGACCACATTTCTGGTGTATTTCTGGTGTATTTCCCAGAAAACCAGAAAAAAAACCACCAGAAATGGGTTTTATTGATTAAAATGATGTCTTTTCTTTGTAAATCCTTTATTATAGCCTTGTTTTTTCTCTCAAATGAACTCTAACAGATTCAAACACTCTTATTATATTCTATTCTTTATCATTCGATAAGAATTTCGATATTATTCGATGCGCCAAGTCTTTCTCTATCGATTGGTAAAAAAACTATTGAAATTGGACAGCGGAAAGCTGAGATATTTGAGCTCAAAGTTAGATTGCCAATGGCAAAAGGGGCGGGGCCAGGAAAACCTTTTATACGCGCTCCGCCCCTTTTCCCTTGGCTTGATTTCAAGAATATTGAAATTGAACAGCCCAACAAGAAATTTGAGCTCAAAATTAGCCAATGGAAAAGGGCGGGGCGCGTATAAAAGGTCTGTCTGGCCCGGCCCCTTCTGCCTATCTAACTTTGAGCTCAAATTTCTTGGTGTTGGGTTGTTCAATTTGAATGTTCTTGGAATCATTCGATGCGCCAAGTCTTTCTCTATCGATTGGTATAAAAACTATTGAAATTGGATAACGCAAAGCTGAGATATTTGAGCTCAAAGTTAGATTGCCAATGGCAAAGGAGCGAGGCGTTCAAATGCTCAAATTCAATCAAATATCCCCCAATCTACCAGAAGTCCTAAAACGCCAGCTTCTTGTCGACCAAGCTTATCAATTTGCCCGGTTCAATTACTCAACTATTCTACTGCTAATTGGACCAATGCCAGTTGGACAGTTGGACAATTGGACAATTGGACAATTGGACAATTGGACAATTGCCAGTTGGACAATTGGACAGTTGGACATTTCATTTTTATTTTTATTTTTTACGAGTAATTTCTTGGAGTCGACTTGTAAACAATTGGTCTTGAATTGGTGGATTTTTAGTTCAAACCCGTGCAAAGACTTCCTTGTCAACCTGTAATTGTAAATAAGTAAGTAAACTGTAAATAAAACCAGTTTATAAGTCCAATTTTTCAACAACAAATTTTACAAAGATATTCCATTTTTCTCTCATCAAATTATAGCTTTATTTTTTCCAATGTCTAGCCTTGTTTGTTTTCTTTTCAATGAATACAAAATGAGCTTTTGAGAGTAAACTTTTAAAACGAGAAAAGCTTAATTTTTCGTGCTTAAATGGCTTTAAAGGTTTGGTGGAAAAACTATTGAAATTGGATAACGCAAAGTGGCTTAAATGGCTTTAAAGGTTTTCTTTCTGTTACGAGCCAACACTTGCTTAATCTCTGTCAAGTGAGCCAGACGGAAATTGGGTTTTCGGGAAGGGAAAAAAAGTTTTTTTAGCTGAAAACATTGTTCTTTGTTCTTTTCAATGGGATAAGTATGGGAAAACGAAAAATTTCACTGGCTTTTATTTTCGAGAAAATGAAAGAGAACACAAATCATTTAGGAACTTGTTTGAGCTAGGTGTAGGCTTAGGCTCAAGCTCAGGTCCAGGTCTAGGCTCAGGCTCAGGTTTAGGCTCAGGCACAGGCTTAGGCTTAGGCTTGGACTTAGTGCGAAGGCTAGCGGTTAGGGCCACGCACTAAGTCTATTTGGGTTTAGGCTCAGGCTTAGGCTTGGGTTCAGGCTTATGCTTAGGCTCAGGCTCAGGTCCAGGCCTAGGCTCAGACTCAGGTCAAGGCCTAGGCTCAGGCTTATGCTTAGGCTCAGGCTCAGGTTCAGGCTTGGGTTCAGGCTCAGGCCTAGGCTCAGACTCAGGTCAAGGCCTAGGCTCAGGCTCAGGTCCAGGCTCAGGTTCACACCTAGGCTCAGGCTTAGGCTGAAGTCTCAGGTTTGTCAGCTCAATCCAGTCTTTCTCTCTTCAATCCAGTCTGATGGTCAGACTCTGATTCTTTGTTTAATCCATCAACTATGAATCTATTCATACATCAAACTCTTTCAGTCTCGGAGCTCATTGACCACATTAAAAATGGCCCATTTATAGACATTTATAGACACTCCCTTGGCCTCTCTTAAAGCTATTTTCCTTTTCCCCCACTCTCTCTTGAAAGTAATTAGCTTTTACACGCGTCTTGTACCCCGTTTTTCCCTTTTTTGCCTTCTTTTCCCCTCTTTTCCCTTCTCCTTTTTCACTTTTCCCCATCAAATAACACTTCTAATTTCTTTCTAATTTACGGGAGCCGCTTTTTCGCAAACAGGAACTAAGTGATTCATATTTGAGTCTCCATTTTTGGTTTGGCAAGCTTTTATATTGAAGTTTATCTGAAATTATCATTTTTAAGTCATGTTAAGTCTAATACTTATCATTTAGTATTATCAGTTGGCTTTTCAGCGAAGATGGGCTAAGCCAGAGCTTGGTAGAAGCTCAAGAGCCAGTTTCGATCCTAGCCAGGCTAAGCCAGAGCTTGGTAGAAGCTCAAGAGCCAGTTTCGATCCTAGCCGGGCTAAGCCAGAGCTTGGTAGAAGCTCAAGAGCCAGTTTCGATCCTAGCCAGGCTAAGCCTAGAAAAGTTACGTTTAAAACAAGCTTGCTAAGGGTGCAGTATCTGTTTTTATACCTATTTTAGGCCTAATGCAGACCCGGAATTAGCTTCCGATAACTTCTGGTCTTAGAAAACTGAAAAAGTCGAGATTGAGTGGTACTAGGGGGGTCGAACCCGGGTCGTGTGGGCTGAAGACAAGGGTGCCGACTGCGCCATAGCGACAAACTGGGTAAGATCGGGTTTTCTAGCCGATCGGTTTCTGTCGTCGTGGCACAGTCGGGAGCACGCTTTTCTACAGCCCACACGATCCAGGTTCGATCCCCCATACTGCTTTTTGTTTCATCGAACTTTGATTTTCAAGAAAATTTCTTTTAAATTCCATAAAGGATAGTATTCTAAGGTTTTCTAAAGAATTTTTAGCTTTATTGTTTAAAGTTTTATTAGTCAAAAGTGAGAAAATGATCGCATAGTTAGATAGAGAATAAGTTTTTGATTTCTAATAGACTTTTAGATCTTTAATCCCCATTTTGCGCATAGAGAACATATAGAAAACGCTTTTTTTTTCTTTTTCTTTATCGCGTCACATGTTTTCTATTGAAGAAAGCTTTTCCGCTCCACTTACTCATATCCAAATCCTTTTTTTACCCATTTTTTTTTTGCTATTTAAACTTTACATAGAAATCGATGAAAATTAAACAAAAACCCATGAAATTAGACGAATTGAAGCGGTTTTTTTTGCAAACTTTATCTAGAATAGTTGATTTTTATGGGATAATTTGTGCTTAAGGATAAATTAGCTTTTGATCTCTAGCTAAACTAGTTCTAGTTCTTGTTCTCGTTCTATTGGGTTGGTGAATTGAAAACTGCGGGACTTTGAACTTATTCATGAACTTTGAATCGGATTTATTCAACATAAAACCATCAATTCATTCCAAATAATTTCCATTATTATTGCTCGACTTCTGCCCATTTTACAGACAATTTGCGGATTCCTCTTTTGTACTAGGATTTTGGTTTTGAATCGAAAAACTTTCAAAGCCAATTTTTGACTGCTTCTTCCGAATCGAAGTGTTCTCCCGCAAGCTTATTACTCATGAATAAGTAGTAATCAAAAGGGGCAAGGTCCGGACTGTATGGGGAATGCGCCA